TTTACATTCTTATCAGCTCTATGCTCTACTGTTTGAGCCAATGCTCTACTGTTTGAGCTACAGGAAGGCTACAGGAAGGAATAAACTACTAACTACTAAAATAAAGCTTGCATCAATTCCTAACCTGAGGTGTATTTCTCAAAAGCATCGTTAGCTAACTATGGTCACTTCTGGGTTGCTCACTTGTGTGGCAGCTCTAGACCTTTGCTTAAAAGCACTTCTTGTTACCATGACATGTGGACTTCAGTATATCAAGCGCAATAAGCAAGCCAACATTACATGGAGTACATTTCTTTCAAATCAATTTCTTTCGATATATTTTAGTGCGCCAATAATCAACGCTGTTATTGAAGATTGCACATTACTATAATAAGTAACCTGAGATGAATCGAGCATCAAATAAAACAAAATCATCGGATGCCATGTTTGTTACAGCAGCATCTTAGAGAAATGTTGTAGAGAACGCTGTTGACTGATTGAACCATATACAGTATACAGGATTAAAAAAAAGGCAGTGAGTTAAGTCATTACGGGAAATACACTGTGTTGATCCGGATACTGGTTGTGACCGATCAAAATGGATTAAGTAAACTTCCATTTTATAATTTTGAATTGATTGCATGCAATACAATTACAGTGTGAAACGATGTTAAAGAATTGTGTTGCATTAGCTAATTTGAATGAAATAATTTGCATTTACTTGTAGTGTTTCAAATGCCTATAAATGATCTCAGATGAAATAGACATGTTCCATGTGCAGCGATTTACAATATGTTTCATTGTTTTAGGTAAAATGTTCAGGCCAGAGGCAAAAACCTTCTCTGTTGTATCTAATTGGTTCTTGTGGAAAAATCCTACCAAAAAGCACATCTGCAGAAGATTTAAAACAAAGCAACAACAATTCTGGATGCACTTGAATGGGATCAGAAGCCTCTTTGTCTGAACATCCTAATGCTGGACTGTTGTAAATGTATCTCAGCTACAGAAATGAGAGGAACCACCTTTTCCTCTAGTTTTGGTTTCTTTCTTCTCTTCATGGAAAGCAGATTTTAGCAATCATCACAGAAGACTGAAGCTTTATACGACATCTGGAGTCCTGACGTGCTTTTGCAAAATTATGTAGTCGCTAATCATTAACTTCAGAGAAGCATCAACAGAAACTCTTAAAATGATGGTTGTTATTCACTGATAATCTTGCCCTCAAGTGAGCTGTTAACAGCTGCGTCCGGATCATTGAGTCAGCTAGATGAACTCAAGAACCAGATCAGCCCAATTTGTGGATGAATCATTCAGACTAGATTTTTGAACCATATTAACTGGTTCATTAAAAAGACTCAAAAGAATTCTCTTATGAATTATTACGCACCAAGGACAGAGTTTGTTTATTTACAACCGAATTCCACCAAATTCACTTTCAAAAAGTAATGAAATCTATGCTATCTTTGTAATAATTCCCTTTCGAGGGACCTCACGCTGCGTTGTATGACGACACTTTGAGGAACGCCTTCAGCGTGATAGCGCCAGGAAATGACAATATATCGGAGACATATTTTGTAACCGGCAGAGAGGACAGTGCAGAAAAAAGCTGTGCATACCAGCCTTCGGTCCTGCCGCTGCCTCAGAAGATGCATAGTCCAGTGCATGGCTGCATATGTTGTCAAATTTAAATAAGCGACCATCTGTATTGCAAACCCCTCCATGTTGCGGTTGTTGTTTTTGCCATCATTGCCATAGAAACCAATGCAGATATTCCAGAAAACGAAAGAGCTGCATGGACACACAAATTGGATCTGAAAAGTTATCAATACGTTTAGATCAGATTCCAATCGGATACACAAATAATCGGATTTGACAGTGTGAATGTAGCCTATTGGCCCAATTTTAACGATCTGAAACGCAAGTATCAAGTAACTTTGTGGGCGGGGCTTGGGCGCTGTTGCTATTTTACCGGCGGGATAAATGACTCTTGCGCCCGACGCAAGTTTAAAAGGGGTTGGTCTGAAAAAGCTTCATTATTCATAGGAGTGGTTTGGGCGTAACGTGAAATAAACCAATTAGAGCGTCATCCAAAATACCCTTTAAGAGCAGGCGCGCTTGTTGCATGGCGGATTGTTATTATTATGGCGGATTTACCAGGCGCGCGCCAGGAGCGGGACACAGCCGAGGAGACCGACGTTCTTGTCAGGGCAGTGAAAGACAGAGAAGTGACGTTGTTTTTTTTTCTGGTTCTTGACGGACAAACTAATTTGTCACATGTCCTTATATACATATGTGTCTTGCCACTATTGGGCAAACAGGTCTGATCCGTCATTACTACAATTAGCCTGAAAAATTTGGGTCAATGTGTAAGCTAGATTTAGGCCTACATTTTTTTACATCTTCATGGACACCACAATGATTTCCCTCATGTGTTAATATTTTTCCTTGTTATAATGTATGATTTGCAAAAATAAAAACTGCTGCATCTGTGTTGATGAGAGAATCAAAGTGTATGCGCTGACTTTAGACTAGGTTTTTTCTGGTCAGTGGCGGAATTGTTTTCTGGAACTGCAAAATAGCACTAGGGAATGTTTGCGCCGAAACACGCCTCCTTTTTGCGCCGACCCGCCCAGGGACCGCAAGTTCATTTCCTAGTTTACCGACGTGCGTCTGTGGAGGGAAAAGCCTGCTTTGCGCGGGTGCAAAATAGGAATGATACATGCGTCAGTGTACAAAGTCATTTGCGCCGGGCGCAAGATAGGGCCCTATGTGTGTAAGTCTTATTTGGTGTTTGTTTGTGATACACACAACTTTTGTGTGAGCTGCAAAAGTTAGGACTGTTAGGGCTGTCTAGCTCTGAGGAGTTGGATGTTCTCAGCATCAAAGCAGGTGATTTTGGGTGACTCGCCAGCCCTATACCCGCAGTATGAGAAGCTCGTGAGTCGTGAAGGTTGTAACTCGTGCCGTGGTGAAGCTAAATATCGATAGGCCGGACGAGAAGTGGGAAGTGCAAAGAAAAAGTAAACTCGATGAGCGCTTCCTGCAATCAAAAGCACATCCTCCACAGCGGGGCTTGCCATTCTTTCCGGATTTCCACATTGTGGTGTCGAGATCCTGGAAAAATCTGTTCTCTTCTCGACTATCGAGTCCCACGTTGCATAATAACGCTTCTATTGTGTGGCTCAAAGAGAACGGCTATGGGATGATTCCCAGAGTAGAAGAGACTTTAGCAGCTTATCTCTCCCCTGACGCTGAATCATCCCTTAAAGCCCCGACATTGCCCACCAAGCCATGCCATACAACATCTTCGCTGGTGGGCAACGTGTAAATGGTGGCAGGTCAGGCAGGTGCTTGCTTACACACAATGGTCATCTTGCAAGCGTACCAGGCCGACCTGCTTAGGGATCTGGATGAGGGCTAAGGTGTGGGGTCCGACGCCATTAAAATAACTGCGTCAGGCCACTGATTTACCTCTGCGTGCCACCAAGGAGACGGCCCGCGCCATCGGCCGCTCTATGGCAGCTATGGTGGCTACGGAGAGGCTTCATACAGCCTTTTGAGAGTGAAATACAAGCACTTTTCAAGGACTTTAAAGTGCTCCACACTTTTTCTAGCCCTTAACTTAAAGGCCCATTGAAATCAAAATGTACGTTTTTTAGCTCTTAGGGTGAATATATTAGCCTTAACATTAAATAAGCTGGTGTGTTCCAAAACAATGACAAAATTCGCATTTAGGAGATATAAGCATTCAAAACTTAGTCTCTGACTTCCGCTAAAATGGATCATGGATTTTTATGATGTCCCCGCAGACTTCACCACGGTATATTGTTTATTTCGAGTCGGAGTGAATGTCGGGCACGTCCGAAAGCGAGTAACTTTAGAAAACTGGATCAGCGCTGACTCTGTTTTGAATGATTCAGTTCGATTTGGTGAACTGAACCGCTTCAAAAGAACAATTCGTTCATGAACCGGACATCACTACCGTTGTCACGTCACGGAGCAATATGGGTTGGAGATGTGTGTTCGGTTCCTCAAACGCTCAAGTTTTATTCCATTTTTAGAATGAAATAGCTAGAATTTATTCACACTTCTAACGTTACTATTGAATCCAACGTATCAGCGCTCAGATTCGTTTCCATGGTGCTGTCAAGTATGACTCGCAGTCTGTGAGGTAAACTAAATGCTCTTGGCTATTTGAAAAGGTGGAGGAGCCTTTCAATATGTCCCGCCTTACCTTCCTGTTTCAGTGGAAATTACGTCAACGCATCATACAAAGCTGCACGTTTCAAGAAACTTCAGTGGGCCTTTAAATGTGATTTTTATTGTGATAACCAAAAATATTAAATATTTTAGTTTTTCTTTATAAAAATTTGGTTTTTATGTTACTGTTGCTAATTTTATCTGCATCTCAACTCAAGCTCAGTGCTTTACTGTCAAATGTGCATTTCCAAGAAATAAAAGTAATATTGTTAGTTACTGCACTTATTAATGTAAAACAATAGTCATTTTCGTCTTTCAACAATGGGTGGTAGATCATTCAGTGCTGTGGCTCCGAAACTCTGGAATTCTCTTCCTCTAACTCTTCGTGACACTTCTAGTATATCCTCACTCAAATCTCAACTAAAAATATTTTCTTACAGTATGTCCAACCCTCCTCTGTTTAGTGTTCTGCTGTTTTGTTACTGTATATTTCTATTTGATGCATACTAATTCTTGATGCTGTGTTTTTGTTATCTTCTTGTACAGCGACCTTGAGCTTGGGAAAGTCGTTTTATAAATAAAACTTTTTTATTATTATTATTCATTTTATGACTAAATTACCTTTATGATTAAAAATCTCCCCACCCCCCAGCGCTGCCAAATTAGGTGCTTGTTCCACCATCTGTAAAATTTAGTGGCACTGGTGCTACTGCTCTCAAATGTTAGTCTGGAGCCCTGTATATTGCCAGAGGTTAGAGTGACTCATTTATTGTGTGCATATATGTTTGTACATTAGCCAAAAAGAAGCAAATCTTATTTACCTGTGGCTTTTTCTGGGTTACTGCACATGAAACAGAGCCAGCCACCCTCCTCTTCACTGTAGCTGAACAGGTCAAAGAAACGAACCTCCTCCAGATACATCAGCAAACTGTCCACATCCTGAGAGAGATGGAGAGATGAAATTTAGCAGATGATGCTATTCAAAAGACAACACACAGGGAAAGAGTTCTAAAATTAATGCTAGAATGCATTGCAACAAGGTTGGTGGAATAAATGATCCAAGATGGCAAAATGTTGATCCACTCGTTAAAACTGACGTCACTGTTTCCGGGTCAAAACGATAGCAATTCATCTTTTTTTAATCGTTAAAGTATTGGTTTTGTATTGGACTCAGTGAGTCCAGAGACTGTAGTATATACACCATGAGTTTATAAAAGCTTGCCGTAAATGTGTAATATGAATTAATAGTGCTCATAAATGGCTGTTGAGATAGTATTCTTAATTGAAAATAGTGGAGGCCTGGACCCGGATATGGCATTAACAAACGGATATATGACTTATTTTGTTAGCTTAACAACATACTAATGCCAAACTATTGGAATGAACTACAAGCAAGTCACATTTCTTAAGCACATTTTCTATGGAATAGCACCGATATTGTTGAAATGTGTCTTGAGACATCAAAGCTCTCTCTGTTATAACGTCAGATTCTATAAATCTGACGTTATAACTTCTTCTCCTAGTCGGTACACGCCAGCTGGCAGGGGGAAGCACCAGCCGATCGGGGTCCACCGGTCTTCCATTCATTTTTTTTGATGGCGCTGAGATGTTTGGCTGGCCGTCTGTCGCTCCACTTTGTCTTTGTTTTATATCTATTATTATTTTACCTATGTTGCCAAGGCGTACTATCGTTTCTCACTTATGATCGCCAAACTCTGCTTGAGATTGGAGTCTTCTGCAATCAGTTTAAACCTGACCTGCTGAAAAGCTCACCTCCACCTCCATGCCTCGAGGAAATTCCGGTCTTCCTGAGGCGCCCTCCTCTCTATTATGCTTCCAAGAGACGGTGCAGAAGACGTGGTAAACGCGGAGGTGTCCGGGTAAGGTTAAAGGCTACTCTGAGGACTATTCGTGTGTTTGGTCGCTGGACTGAGCTGTATCTGTTGGACGACGCTGTTCTGCACTCGGGGGTGTTCAGGGACCGATGGATTCGGCCGGTGTTCCCTGACGCTGGTGGCTTAGGCGGTGTCGGCCGCTCGGTGGACCCCGATCGGCTGGTGCTTCCCCCTGCCAGCTGGCGTGTACCGACTAGGAGAAGAGGTGTGGATCGTCGGAGCCTTCGATCCCTGAAGCAAGTCCTGTCCGTATTTGACACTGTTACTTTAAATCTGGCTCTGCTGAATGTGAGATCTGTCACAAACAAAACGTTTTTACTGAACGATTTCTTTATCGCACGTAATTTGGATTTTATGTTCCTGACGGAAACCTGGCTGCGTGAAGGTGATCTTACTCCTTTATCGGAGCTTCTTCCCCCTGGATGCAATTATTTTAACTCCCCTCGTATTACCGGTAAAGGTGGAGGACTGACATCCATTTTTAAATCTACTTTTTGCTGTCAACAATCTTCAACTGCAGGCTACTCCAGCTTTGAGCTGCAACTCTTTGAGGAAAAGCTTTCGGAAACTTTTCTCTGTGCGGTGGTCTATCGGCCACCAAAATTCAACAAAGACTTTGTTCGGGACTTTGCAGACTTTGTATCGGGTGTTACTCTTAAATATGACCACTTTTTGATTGTTGGCGATTTCAATATACATGTGTGTTGTGAGAACAGACCTCTGGTCAAAGACTTTATGAATGTAATTGACTCTTTCAACCTTATGCAGTCTGTTCGGGAGCCCACGCATGAAAAGGGTCATATTTTGGATCTTGTGCTGTCATATGGGCTGGACATACAGATAACTGAGATCGGCCACACACTTTTATCTGACCATTTACCTGTTTTATTTTCCATCTCTGTGCCTGCTCCCTCTCTAAGCGCAGCTCCTCTGCGCCGTCTTCGTGTTTTTAATTCTGGAACACAGTTGTTTTGTGCTATTTTTAAAGACTCTTTTTTATATTCTTTGGATGATCTTAATGACCGCAGTGTGGATGAATGCATAGCAATGTTTGATTCTTTCTGTACTAAGATTTTAGATTCGATTGCACCCATGACTTTAAAGCGCATAAAGCCTCAGAAGGAGCCCTGGCTGAATGAGTCCACTCGTACGCTCAGGCGCACATGTAGACAGGCGGAGAGAAAATGGAAAAAGGACAATCTTCAAATTTCTAGGGAACTCCTTCAAGACAGTCTTATTAATTATCAGCAGGCTGTAAAAACTGCAAAAATTGATTATTTCTCCTCACTGGTGTCAAAAAATGGTGAACTGTGGTGATGCTGTCTGTTTAGAGCCTTCTTCTAGTTTGTGTGAGGCTTTTCTGCAGTTTTTTACAGACAAGATCTCTGCTATTAGAATCCCACTATCTCGGTCTGCTCAGGTCCCCTCAGCTCCTATAGCAAGCACAGCTGTCTTTGACAGCTTTGAACCGGTCACCCCTACTGAACTGAATGAGATAGTTGCACATTTACGCCCTGCTAACTGTCAAACGGATAATATTCCATCATGTCTGTTTAAGGAGGTCTTCTGTTCAGTGGAGTCTTTTATTTTGAAATTTATTAATTTGTGTCTTAGTTCTGGCTGCGTTCCATCTTCTTTTAAACATGCCATAGTTCAGCCTCTCCTGAAGAAGAAGAACTTAGACCCTATGGTTTTATCTAATTTTAGACCCATTTCTAAGCTCCCTTTTATTTCAAAGGTTTTGGAAAGAGTTGTGTTAATGCAGGTCCAAGAATTTTTAAAAACAGCGGATGTTTACGAACAGTTTCAGTCTGGTTTTAGGTCTCGTCACAGTACTGAGACTGCTCTATTAAAAGTTTTTAATGATCTGTTCTTACACCTTGATACTGGCAACTGTGCCATTTTAATTCTGCTTGATTTGACTGCAGCCTTCGACACAGTTGATCATAAAATTCTTCTGTGGCGCTTAGAGCACTGTGTTGGCTTAAAAGGCACTGTCCTAAAGTGGTTTGAGTCGTACTTAACAGACAGATCAATCTCAGTACAAATGGGACAGTTTTCATCCTCAGTGGCCCCTCTGACCTGTGGGGTACCGCAGGGGTCAGTTCTGGGTCCACTCCTATTTACCCTGTATATGCTACCATTGGGATTAATTTTCAGGAAGCATGGCATCTCCTTCCACTGCTTCGCTGATGATGTGCAGGTGTATCTTCCACTAAAGGTTCCAGCTAAAGAATCTTTGCAGGCCGTGATAAACTGCATGAGCGATATTAAGAAATGGATGGACCTAAACTTTTTAAAACTTAATGAGAATAAAACGGAGGTTGTCTTGTTTGGTCGTCCAGAGTTGGTTCAGGTTCTTACCAGTGCCCTTGGCCAACTAGCACCTCACTTAAGATCCCATGCCAGGAATCTTGGAGTGATTGTTGATAGTGCTTTTAAACTGGATAAGCAGGTCAGTGCTGTGGTTAAGGCTAGCTTTTTTCAGCTTAGACTGATAGCTAAAGTCAAACCGTATCTGAGACAGGCTGACCTAGAAAAAGTCATTCATGCTTTTATTACCTCACGCCTGGATTACTGTAACTCCTTGTATACAGGCATTGGGAAGTCTGAGCTTTATCGTCTGCAGCTTGTACAGAATGCAGCAGCTCGTCTTTTAAGTGGCAGGAAGAAGCGGGAGCACATTACTCCAGTGCTCTCATCCCTTCACTGGCTTCCAGTAAAGTATCGGATTGATTTTAAGGTTATTCTATTTGTTTTTAAATGTATCAATGGGTTAGCCCCAGAGTACCTTACAGACCTTGTCACGTTGCATAGGCCCTCCAGAGACCTTCGTTCAGCCAGTCTGATGGTCCTGGAGGTTCCTAGATCGAAACGGAGATCCAGTGGTGATCGAGCTTTTTCAGTGGCAGGTCCAACTCTCTGGAACTCACTGCCTGTAGCTGTGCGGACTGCTAGTAGCTTGTCCACTTTTAAATCATTGCTGAAGACTCATTTGTTTGAAGTAGCTTTTGGCACAGGGGAGCTGCCTTGATGAATGTTATATTCTATGTGTTCTTCATTTTTTTCAATTCTTCTTTTATTTTTAGCATTTGTTATTTTATTGTGTTTTTATTGTATCAGTCTGTGAATAATATCTTAGTGTTTTCATTGTGAAGTACTTTGGTAGGCCTTGGCCTTGGAAATGTGCTATATAAATAAATGTGACATTGACATTGACATATAAATGCCAATAATGAAAAAAAAGAAAGACAGCTGGACACTACTGCTTTGCTAATCAAAAGAATGTGAGGTGATCTCTGCCTGTCAGTCACTGAGTGTACCATTTTGCTGAGATAGCTTTAGAGGGCAAAACTTTGCTGAAAAGCAAAGTCTAGCTGAAGCTAGCAAAATGGCTAACATTGTTGACAGAAGAGCTCCTTAGTGTTCAGTGGACAGCGAGGCAGGTTGCTAGGTTTAACAGGGTTAAGATGTACACTACATTTATTTTAATGTGAAGATTTACATTGTGCAGTATTTCTTGACACCAGGGAAGCAGTAAACTACAAGCTAGCTTTCTTAGTCGTGAGAAGTTGTGGTTAGCCGCTCCTGGCTACCAGTTCTCAAGATTAATAGAGTGTGTATAAGAGTCTCAATAGTCTTAAAGCAGGACAGCCCTTTGAAGAATCTTCACATTGATCAGATTATCCTAGAATTTGTCTTTAAAGTCTTTATGGAAAGCCGTCAATGGACTGAAACAGCTGCGTAATGACAATATGGGATTTACTTTACGTATTAGAGAGTCAACAGCACAGCTAGACTAAAATGAACAATGAGAGCTGGCATCTACATATGCTTATTGGCTAGAAATTCCAATGGATGTGAGGGTGTGTGGCCTTTAGAAAGAGGAATCTGCTAAAATGAAGACAACCAATGATATTAGAAAATTATTTGTTTTTACAGATATCAAAGCCAGTGAAGTGACTATTATACTGAACTGAGTTATTCTGGAAAAACGACGATTGCAAACATCACACAGAAGAGTTAGGAGAAAAACAAGGATTG